TTGCCATCCCGCCTCATGCACATAAACAAAGATGACGTCATCTACCCTTGGCTCGCACTCTTGACACGGATTGCACACACACTATGCTCTGCACACACGAGTCCCTCTGCAGACATGAGCAGCAGGTTTCTGGGGCTGTTGCCCTCACTGCGCCGCCTCCTGCCCTGTCTGTGTGCGCGTGCATGAGAAAGACAGACAGATACTTTATTCTCAAGGGAAACCTGGGGAAATTGTGCATGTACATGTATGTTGTCTAGAACCCAGCTGGGCCAAAAAGCACAGCTACTTTGTCTAAATGAGCAGTTTGAAACAAAGGGAATGAGGGAAGGAGAGTGTCAAAGAAGGAGACAGAGAAGGAGGCAGGGTTAGCCACAGGCATGCTCAGAGCAGCACCTCAGCACAGACACACACTTGTGTATCCTCATTTGAGCTGTGTATTCCTCATTATTCCAGCCCCCGCAGACAAGTAGTCTCTCCTCTGCACTGCATCCTCCTCCTGTCCTCTTCTCTTCACAAAAATGACATCATGGATTTTTTTATGAGCGCTTCCTTTGCCTGGTGAGTTTTCTGTCTGTGTGAGACATGTAATAGCTCAATTCAAGGGGTTTCATCCCTTCCTTGCAGGTGTTTATACTGAGTTTACACATGATCTTTTTGAACATTTGGTCCATGTGACACATCCAGAAATGCTGCTCACGCTTCAACCACACTGTTTCTTATCACATGAGCCCAGTCAGACTCATTTAAATAGTTTCCAAATCTCTGAGTCGGCTTTGTTAACCTTTGGTAACAGTCTTTTCCAGCTGCTGCTCCACATGTCAGCAGAGACAACAGGGGTTGCACTGACTTGCATGAAGCTACAGTTGTGTGTTTAAGTCTATTGTGTTGTATGAGCTGTTTCTGTCATTTTGTCAATTTGTTAGCATCACGATTTGTCTAGAAAAGGTCACACATTGAATATTTGAACACGTCTGTTTTATTGTAACATCGCTGCTTTTTCTCTGTCGCAGCACGCTGCCCCCCACTGGCGGGATTGGAGAGACGCCTGCCGTGGACTCGTCAACTTCATCACCCAGACTCTTAGCACTCTCTACAGGCTCACATAGATAGCTGTCTGACCTGCAGCACCGTTACCATGGCGACTATTTTACATTCAGGACGCAGCCAGCGAGCAGAGCGACTTGGACTGGTTGATGCCCTGTTGTGCATCTGAACCTAGAGGACTATGAAATGAAACTTTTTCTTGAACAGAGACTTTGGGAGGATGAGATCAGCAGCTGGAGGTATCACTGTGCTGCCTGTGGAAACTGGACCCTGCCTGTCTGTCTGCCTGACGGTCTGTGCGTCAGTCAGTCTGCTGGTACAGACTGCAGCTGGCGGACGGACCGACACTTTCCTACCTGTACATTCTGTAAAATCAATTTGCTTTTGTTGTCTTTGTCAACGTCTCGGGGGTCAGCTCTTTATGTAGCAAGTGTGGCTCAAGCGCGTGCCTGAGCCTGTTTGTGTATGTGGACGTAAGACCTGGGTCAAACAGTTTGTGAGAAGCCATTTGTGGTCAATGCAGATTTTTGAAAATTGGGTTCCAAATACCAGAGCCAAGGTCTTTATCATACCAGCCACCATTTTCCTGTCCAGATCTAACTTTAGATTACGTGAAATCGTTCAGTAATCATCCTTTCTTCTTCTGCTGTGGAAATACCATCTTGATTTAGTTGAATGAATTTGGAGAATAACAGCAGATGTGATTTGACCCTCGTCTGATGTGTGTGTTGCTGTTATATCTTTATTTTGGATCTATAAACTGTGAAAGTGGACAGCGTGGCTGCATCACAGGGACAAGTTGGGTGTTATCCCAGCGTGGAGCGAAGCACAGTGACTCTCTCTCCCAGACTGAAACCACTTCATTTCAGATATGATGTGCCTTTCTCGCTCTGCTGAGGCCTAATCTCCAACACCAGGACAATCATCCACACACACTCTTTAAGTGCTTTGTCTGCAGTCACTGAGCTCAGATGCTCCAGCTTCATGGTGTCGGACAGAGAAAGCTAAATCCCCGCCAAGCGCACACACACACACACACACACACACATGCAGACAACTGCTACTGTACATTCTTCCACACGTTCATACTGCCAGTGTTGGGAGCTGAAAGGGTCTCACTCGCCCGCGTCAACAGTGTTCATAGTTACTTGATCGTGTGTAAATATTCTGTTGGAATCGGGAAAAACTTTGATGGACTTTAAACGCGCTTGTCAAAGCGAGAGTTCACTGTGTTTGTCGGGAGATGTTTTCGTATTTCTGAGTGGCTGCCGGCAACAGTAGAGCAAGTTTGAATTTAAATCCAGTGGATTTGAGATGGCTTTCCATGACTTAGAGAAGAATATATGATTTGGATCTTTTGTTAAAATACATTTGATGATGTTTGTAAAATGACCCCTTCGGTTGTGCGAGTATTTTCATTGTAGTTTTGGGAGAAAATGTTCATTGTTCATATTAGGAGCATAATTTATTTCGGAGAGTAGCCGATCTGTAGCTTGTTTTTTGGTTCCTCAACAGGTTTAGTTTTGTATGTAATGTTTAATTTATTGTTTCTTACATTCCTGATCAGAACTATGGGTGAAGCTGTACTTGAGCTGTAGCTGGTAAAACAGATTGAATACGATGGGAGCTTCCAGTGTGCACACTGAAAGCCAGTACATCACGTCATTCATTTCAGATGGTACTGTGTATTTTTATTACTGACAACTTCACTATCTCCCAGCTTTAAAAACACAATGCTGCCATAAAGTCCACATGCAAAACAAGATGCAAGTGTTTCTCTGATCAGCGTAACACAATGCCATAAACCTCTCCACAAAGTGGTGTATTGGCCTCTACAGTGTGAATCAGGTACTAAAGTGGCTAAATCCTCCCTTCCTACTCTTTAAAGCACAAAGAAGAAGGACTCTGACGTCACAAACAACGCTTTTGTTAACAGCTTCAGCTGACTGAAATGAAAACCATTTCACAGAAAACTCTGTCATAATGTTAATTTGATTCCCAAACGGTGAGGTTTGTGGTAGTGCTAATGGTGCTACACATGCTAACTATATACCGTTCTGTACTGTAACGTACTTTGGAAAGTATCTCAACCTATCGTCCTTAAAATGCCTCAGAAACAGGGAACTGATTGGCTTTGGCAAACATGATGCATCAGTTTTTGTTGGCCTGTTTGATTTTTGCCATACAGATGATACCGCTCTCACTTGGCCTTAGCCACACTGTTTTGTATGTTTTCAGCAAAGGGCACTGAAACATTTTGGAAAGCCCTGATGTATAAAGTCATAATACAACCACAGCCTGCAGACGTTCAGCTAACGTGGCTAAGCTAAGAGAGAACAGACTGTGCTAGCATGGACACTCATTTACTGCTTGTGTATTTATGTTTGTAAATCAGTTGGCTAACAGTGCTTTCAGCCATGTTTGTTGTCATCACATGATGTAACCACAGTAATGCTAACAGCTGTAAAGACTCTGTACCCTGTACGGACCGACTTCCTGTGGCCTGCAGGCGGTCGCCACCCTGGCTCTCTTGGCACCTCACAGTTGCTCCTCTGGTCGTTTTTTGTGACAGTGCACTTCCTGGTTCAGAGCTCACGTTCTCCTACAACAACACTCAGTGTCAGTCACATGCAGTGTGTATTTGCTGTTTTTCAACTTTTTCTATTGTAAACTTTCTACATGAATTTTGTACTTTTTCTTTTTTTATACAATAAAGACAAGGAGAACTACGTTCACTTGTTTGGTCTTTCATGTCTAATATTAGATGTGGTATGTAGTATTGGTAGTGCTGCATTTCTAAAGTGTATATAACCATTGATTATTAAAGCTTTTAGAGTCTAATTCTTGGCAAGTATCCTACTTTCTGACCCACAGTATTAGTGAGTTTTGTAAACAGTTGAAGGAAAAGTTTAATGTTTCTAAAAGAGAAGCTACAGTAGTTTTGTCATCTAATGTAACAGTTCAGGATTTGTCTATTTTATAGTAACTCCCTCCACAATATTCAGGGATAGTTAGTTAAATTTGTAGGTATCCCGTCAGCCTGATTGGCTCCGGCCGCCCATGACCCTGTTCAGGAATAGGCGGTGTAGATAATGGATGGAATAACTGAAGCACCTATGACACCGATCTGGCAGGACAGTGGCAGTTTACTTTGAGTGTGGTTCAGCACATGTTTACAGATGTTGGTGGCTTTGGGGGCGGGGCAGCGGCCCTCTGATGTATGACAACATGTACAGATGCTGCTGTGGGCACCCTCACATCTGGAGAAAACCACAGATTAACAGACATGATGTCAAGACCCTGGGCGCACACAGACACACAGGTCTGTTACTGAGTTAACATGGAGCATCAGGACCAGATATTGTCACTTAAACTCCTCTGCAGAATGAGCCAATCATGCAGCCTTCACCACAAAATCAGGGATCTGATTGGCTGCAACAACAGGCACTTGATGTTTGCTGCTAAGTGAAGGCTGAAACAGAGAGTGACCACACAGCGGGGCACACCGGCCTGGGATTTAAGTCTGTGTGTGGGAGAGAGGAAGAATAGAGGAGATGAAGGGAAGAGGAGAGAAAAATGAAAGAAGAAAAAGACAAAGTGCAGTGGAGTCAGCACGGAGTCTTGAGTGAAGAGTGGGATGAGCGTGTGTTTTGGCAGATAAGAGCTTAAGCTTAATTAAAGGGGCAGAATGAGCTTAAAGGGATGTTCCATAATTAATCTCCTCTGGAAAACCCAGGAAAAGAGCAGTGGCACCCCGTGCTGCAGAATCGCACGCCTGGTTTCATTTCAAGGCTCGGCTTGTTTTGGTGCTCAGCCACTCCAGTCAACAGTGTCTGTACTAGTGTTACTTCATAGGGAGGTGTGGATGTGGTTTTCCAGTGGTGAAAACTATGAATCTTAAGTAAAACTAGAGCACCACAAGTAAAAGCCCCACATTCAAAACATTATGTAAATAAAAGTACTAAATATTAACATCATAATATAGTTTAGGTAGCAACAATACTCACTGGGGAGAATGACACATTTCACATTAAATCCTGAATATAATCTATTATACTGTTGTTTATCACTTGACTGCTGCAGCTGGTAAATGAGGAGCTAATATTAATATACTTTAATTTGAAGTACTTTGGGTAGACTTGTGATTTGATACCAGAGATCAGTAAAGTGATTATACTGCATTTTGTTCTATTCATCTGCTTCTGAGAAGAAACAAAGCTATTAAATACATGTGGTGCAGTAAAGAGTCCAGTCAGCCTGAGCTGCATGTCTTTGGACTGTGGGAGGAAGCCGGAGGTTCAGGGAGAACATGGAGACTCCAACCAGAAAGGAGACGTAGGGGCTTTTACATTTGGGTTGTGAATCTGAGGGTGTGTAGTCTGGTGTTCAGTATATATTGAAGAAGATAATATAAGAATTAAATAAAGTAGAATAATAAAGTAGGGGAAGGGGGGAGTACATTAAGAAGTAAACTGGGGTGGCTTGGAGAGAGTATAGTAAGTACAGTACTCAAGTACAGTACTTAGTTTCCACCCCTGTTGATTTCCAACCAGCCTCTCACTCATCTTTTACTCCTCTCTCACTGTGTTGAACTTACGACGAACCTGGTGTGTGAATGGATCCATACTTATCTCAATTCAAGAAAATTTGTCACACATTTCTGCTGCTGTAGCCGGGAGCATCACAGGGAATAGAAATAACTGTGCCAACTCGATTCATGCACCTTAACGCCAAACTGAATTAATGCACTGTGTGATCTTTTTGGTGTTTAAGTGGACAAACGTGAGTGTTCTGCAGTCGCCCAGCTTGTCTTAATCATTAAAAACATAAGTGTTTCTGGTTTGCTTTTATTTCTGAAACCACAGCCTCCTACTTAAGACAGTGACAAATGAAGGAGTCACACTTCGTTCACACACACTGACGGCCAGAAGCTGAGAGTCTGTTTTCCTTCTGACAGTAAAACCCATTACCATCACAGTCTCCCTGCTGATGTTCTGTGTCATACACTGCAGGCTACGCATTCTTGGCTCCACACAGCAAACTGTACTCAACTTGATAAAAAGTTGGCACTGAGATCTGGTAGTCTGAGAAGAAGGAAGACCCCAGCTGATCGAGGAGGAAGGCCAACACCAACAGACTGGTTCTGTTACAGGGTTTTCCTCTCCACTGCGTGTCCGACTCCTGGCATGTGTGCTGGACAAAGGCTGCAGATGACGCAGGACGCTGTTATGATGAAACTTCACGAGGCCAAAGCTTCAACACTAGAAATGTGGAAAGACGTAGGTTGAGTGATTAAAGGAATTGTTCAACACAAACTCCATAAAGTGTATCTGAACAAGAAGACGCTTTCACAGTCAGTTACCATTTTGTTATTTCCATGTTCTCCAAGGTCAAAATAAACACTATTACCATTACATTGGTCTTATTACCATGAAGCTGTCATTATGTTACTGGTTAGAATGTGAGACAACCAGTAATGAAAAACCATTTTTACATTTAATTACATTTAATTAATTGAATTTAATTAACTGTCTGTGTATCATGATCCAACGCAGGGCCGTATTTACATGGTCTGCTGTTGCTGCAACCAGCATTTAACAGTGTGCACCTGGAAACAATGAACTATATCTGAATCAAAGTGCTATTATTGTTAACCTAAGACACAGTTCAGGTTCCACATGTGTGGCAGGTTAAACAGGTTCTGCTACACGGCCCCTCCCACTCCCAGACGCTGACATCCCTCCCACTCCCAGACGCTGACGTCAGTTGGTTTTCCCCCACCAATGATCTATTGCTGCCAGGATAAAAAACTATAAAGGATAAGAACCCCCACCCCACCCCCACCATTACTGCAGGCTGTGCTGTTTGGTTTGATGAGTCACACGTTAGGTGGTGAGAGGTCATTACTATATACAGTCATACGCTCTGCTACAGTAAAGGCATCATATGACCGTGTGATGTCATCCCCGGAGACTCAGCAAGTTTGACTACTTCAGCCCCCCCCCCCGCAGTTACCTAGAAGTGCAGCCATGAGTCAGTTCACTGGTAGTAGAAAATGAAACTATTTAGAATCAACAGTCACCGACATGTTCTGGTTCCACCTTCTTTAATGTGAGGAGCTGATGCTTTTCTTTGTCAGACATGAGAATCAGCTGAGTCTCTGTGGGTCTGTTGGTTGGACACAACGAGACGTCTGGACACGCCACCTTTGGCTCTGGAGAGTCACAGTGGGACTTTTTTCCCAGCGTCTGACATTCTGGGAGTCAACTGATCAATCAGATCAGCAGGGCAGTGATCAACTGATCAATGACCCTGCTGTTTGTGTCTCCACTCATTATCCTGTATATATTTAAATCAAGCCACCATAATCCGTTTCTTTTAACAGTGTCTGTTGTAATCCATAACGATATGTCTGACATATCTGGAAACTCTCCACTAGAACAGGTCAAACCCTGCATGTCTGCTCAACATAAGTTTGTACTTCTGTACCTGACACAAGGGTCTCTTGGGTTGGAGATTTTGGTGATGAGTCATGTTTATCTGTGTTTCAGGTTCAGTTTTCAGAGAAGATAAGAAAAGCTAATGCACTGCAGCTTAAGTTTCCCCAGTAGCACTTGAATGCAGCATAATTAGGGATACATTTAATGCCTGCAAAGGGCAGATACTGGTCATGGCCCAACTTCTTCACACAGCTATAACACAGCATGTTGTTAGGTTTAATAAATGCAGAACCCTGAGGCAGAACAGTTTTACTAAATGTTTTATTAGCAAATGTAAAAAAAAAAAAAAAACCCTATGTACTGTAGATAGAGTCAGGTTCTGTGGGGAAATGGGTCAAATGACAAACCAATGGAATAACAAATGACTTTTATTACTAGTGGAGCAGGTGCTGGTATAAATAATCTGAGGGAGCAAAGTAAGAAAAGAAGACAGAGGTTTGCTGGACTTGATTTGTGTGTGAAACCGTCCTGTGCACAGGTGTGATGGTTTAGTTTGATCCGAAGTAGTCGACCACGCCGTTGCCTTTACGACCATCGAAGAAGAAAAAGTTCCGGTGAGGAGCATCTCGCTGGGAAAGAGCCTGAAAGGAAAGCAATTTTAAACGAAACATTAAGATCATACTGTGACGATTTTGGCCTTGTTTGTGGTTTTCCTGTAGACCATGTGAAGGTACATCACGCTGCCCGCCGTGTGTATCTCTATGATGGACAACGAGCGAGAGCCAAGATCACTGACTGTACATAAAGCTGGACAAACCCACTGTGACATCACCCACTGGTTTTCTGAAGAGCAGTTGTGAAGCTCAAGTCTGGCCACCTCCATACTGGTAGAGCTTCACTCTGCCTGCTAGGTCTAATCCAAAAGTGGGCAAAGAGGTGGAGCTAGACAGCTAGTGGCCAGCCACCTGTGGTGGGACCCACCCGCCTGTCACTCAAAGCGACCATGCTTTTAATTATGTGTAATTTTTAGTCTCAATACAATTTAAAGGGGTGAGTTATAATAAATAAATAAAATCAGCCCCCATACAGTTGTCATGGAGACCCAAACTGTTTTTTGTACCAGGCTGTAAACATATTTACTTCTGCTAAAATTGGGCATTTTAACATTGGAGTCTATGGGGACCGAATCCCTTCTGGAGCCTCTAGTGGCCGTTCAAGGAAATGCAGGTTTTGTCACTTCCACATTGGCTTCATTTCTCAGCCTCGGAGGCTGCTGATTGGCCAGAATTCAACGCGGCGTGACAGTGACTTCACACTTTCTATAACAGTCACTGCCTACGAAATATAACAATAGAGTTGATATCAGGTTTTTTTGTCCCCTAAAACACTTCATTAATGCCGCAACATACTTTGCAATAGTGACTGACAGTTTCACTAAACTGACCAGAAAGAAGAATTTTATTCCCACTTTCCAATCCAGCCTGCAGGCACACAACATCTCAGTGGTTCAGTTCAGGCGTCTGTGCATGAGCAGAATCAGTTAGATTCACCAGGCAGGACATCAGTCGGACAGTTGCAGTAGGTTTCATCATCATCATCATCACAGAGATGGCAGGTCGGCCTTCCTCCTCTCCCAGACCTGAGCTCCTCTGTTCACCTCAGCCTGAGCTCACTGTGCTGTGTTGTATGTGAACCCCCACTGAGATCATGGCCTGAGATACATCTGACGTCTTTCTGTGAGATCAATCTTAATGATTCTAATGAGCTTCAGTTGCCTGTGAATCCCAAACTAATGAACTTACACATCGAGCTGGACATCAAAATCTAATTTAAGGACGTTTCACTAATTATCCTTTTTGTAAAAGTCATTTCTACTGAAGTCACCAAATTCAAACAGGGATGAGATAAGAGGCATTCTTCTAGACTGTGTCGTAGCTGTATTTTAATTTCAACACTTCTAAGGTTGTGTATGGTAATTTTAAGAAACTTTATTTAAGATTTATTTTGGACTTTTCTGCCTTTATTAATCAGTAGGCCACCGAGAGGTGGACAGGAAACAAGGGAGACAGAGGAAGAGAGCTTTGACAAATGCCAGCGGTCGGACACAGTCTGACAGTGCGGCATGTTTCCATTAGATTAATGTGGACTAATGGTCCCAACATGGTCTTTTAAGTTATAAGGATCGTTACTTTAAATCCGCCAAGTATGTTACACAAGGAATTTGTTTCCGGTACAGAACCGATGGCAGCCACCTAGGGCGCCAACTCACACTGATGGCTCTAACCATCGGGGGCAACGGGGGGGTTCAGTGTCTTGCCCAGGGACACTTTGACATGTGGACTGCAGGCAACGAGATTCGAACCTCCGGTTGGGAGACAACCGCTCCACCCACTGAACCAGAGCTGCCCACAGCTGTACTGTCAATGAGTTTATTACTGTTTAGCTCGAGAACAGCACAAATCATTTCTCCTATTGAGAGTGTGACAGAGCATCACAGTGAGCTGTGGTCACAGTGACAACCACTTTTACACGGAGCAGAGTGGCTGCTGTTCTCATGGACCTAAGCCAGAAACCAGCTGAGTGGCCACCTGTCAGCTGACTGGCTCCCTCTAACACCAGACTGGTGATCTTCAGCATTTACTGGGACGCATCAGAGTGGAAACTTCTCAGAATGGTTCCTGAAGCCATTATGTTCCTAGATTACTGTTAACACTACACATTTAGCGACTGCCTGAAGTGCTTCCAAACGTTTACATGCTTACCTTGACAACTTCCTGTCCCAGAACTCCTCCCACGACAGCGCAGACCGGGGACATCTCAGAGAAACAGTAGCTGCAGACAAACAGTTACAAGAAGCCGCTGTGACTAAACAGGAAGTGTAATGGAAGTGAGAAACTGAGTTATTGGCTCTTTGTTTGGAGCTCTGTTAGTTTGCCAGCTGATTCACGGGTTGTGCCATCTGGCGACGCCGCCATTTCTGTCATGGCAAAGTTGAACTTCACACCGTTTCACTCACAGTGGAAGCAGTCGCCCACTCCCACAGATGATGGTAGTCTGGTAATGTGGTAGTTATTCAGTCAAGTGTGAAACTGGTTATAAGAGACTTTGGGGAAAAAATAACATCAATGTTCAAGGTTGTGTCTCAGCTCCACAATGTGCATATGAAACCCTCACCTGCTTTACTTAGCTTGTGCAGATAAAACAACAACCCTGCAATCCAGGTTTTACTGCATTAAAATATAATTTCACAAAATCTGAACATTAAATTGTAAAAGTGGAATTTTGGCCAGGACACCTAAGTAAAGACAGGAGGTCTGCAGGCCGGTGACACGCTGCAGGCAGACTTTCCAATCTTCATTAGTCCTTGGTGGATTTACAGGGGGTGGGGGGTGGCCCTTGGAACAATTCAAACAATGCAGATCATCATCCCAACGGCTGCCAAACCCCGCTCTCATCTTTGAGCTTCACTGTCTTGATTCGGAGACATTTCAGCACTGGGTTCACTTGAACCACCACTTTCCATCTGAGTGAATCATCTACTCACTGTCTCATTTCTGTACAAAATAAAGCCACAAGATGGGTGAAGACTCTTTGTACCTGATGAAATCATCATTCAAGAGGTCACTGCTCACTCCCAAGGCCTCAAGGACATCATCACGGATCTGTCTCAGGAGCTGACTGTCATCCGCAAAGGACTGTGGGTCAGGGTCACGGCCCTTGTCTGTACGAAACTTCAACAGAACTGTGGAGACGGGGCGAAGACAGAAAAGCAGGAAACAGGAGAAACAAACAAGAAATGACAGTTGTAAGGCTGGAAACAAGTTTAAACCATTTTTCTAAAGCAATATTTTCCATATTATCTACAGTGCTATTGCCATTTATAATTTCATCACGACTTCAAACGACTTCCAAGATGAATTATCAGCTTATGGAAAGACAACATCTCATCTCGACTGTTGCTCCTTTTGAAACACGATAAGATCGTGATGCGGTTGCACCATCAACCACTTCATCCGATTAGGCCTACGTTTCTCCACATCAGATCACCGGCGTGCACACAGACTCATGCATGCAAAGCCACATGCATACAGCTGCATGCATTCAGCATATTAGGGTGGAAAAAAGAGTCTGGACTGACTGAGAAATTAAAAATCTGAAGCGTGCCTTTCATTTGATCATGAGCAATATTTCAAAGAGTAACCGACTTCTTCAACACACACATCAACGCTTCGCCCCCATGTTTCCTGTTCGTCCATTAACTTAAACCACATGAGGAAGTCAAATCCTCCCACAACCATTTCCATCAGCCTGGCACGCACACGCACACACACACGAGCAGTGGCAATGATTCATTTTTGCACCTCGGCTCTGCCCTTATCAGTGAAACTTTGTTAGTAGAAAGTTAAAGACCGGCACAAATGGCATTGTGTTCAGGTCTGGCAGGAAATCAAACTAAATTTCATCACAGAATATAATAATGTGCACATGGATGGAACAATGATAGTATCTCTAAACCTACACATGTAGTAGTGATGTGTCATTGTCTTCACACATTATAGTTGACAGGAACTAACTGGTGATGGCCCTTTATGTTGAAACCTGAAGGTCAAATACACATTTTTCCATTTATTAACACAATATCTGTACAGACAGCGAGAGCATTTATCTTTATATATTGCAATACACAGGAAATTGTCTTTTTCCATGTATTTACATACAGGAGTCATTTTTCTCTCTCTATATATTATAGGTGAGCGATACTAATGATAATGAGCTAAAGCAGACAGACACACGTGCACCCCACCAGCGGGGTTCAGCTCACCCGACTGTTTCTAGTGAGACAGGAAGCAGTTGTAACAGAGGAAGAACCACTTCCTCATCGGTCGCCCAAAACAACTACCACTATCTCCAATTATAGAAACAGCTAAGGAATAATAACACTGCCTCCAGTCTCACCTTCACCGATTTAAAAAACAACTGGGTGGTGTTTCCACTCCAGCAGTAGCCTGCAGACCGAGGACAGGGTGAGGCCACTGTGGGTGGATCAGTTTCAGAATTATTAGGCGACGCTGTCTGGCACAAGTTTAAAATTAACCCAACATGTTCAGAATCAAATTGTACCTGCAAATGATCAGTTACTAAGAAGCAAATTAGCAGTTTAGTAAACAATTGTACCAGACACACATCTGGCTGGTATCGGTGAAGCCCTGTTATAAATAAACGCTGTCTCCCAGTCAATGTTATGAACATCTGATGTGAAGAAAATCGGCTTTTGGTATGTCAGTCATGTGACCTCCTGGTGTTGGGGACCTGCTACCTAAGGACATTTTTTTGCTCTGCTTCTCAGAGGACAGCGTGTGTCACGTTATCACCTTAAAGCTACTCTACCTGACTCATCAGTCTAGAGGCTCTAGTGAGACTCAAACTGACCCCATCACCCGCTCCTAGCCACTTGTAGTCCCTCCCATCACATCCCGATTCCTAGCAGTGACTAAAACTACAGATGCCTGGTTGGGACAAACTATCCACACTGAAGCCTCCAGCCTGAAGCTAGCATTAGCTGGCTAACAGTAAATGTGTCAGTCCAGTAGAAGCTCTGGTTACTGCTGATGTGACACAAAGCACTGACGTTACACAAAGCTCCAGTTACTACCAAACTAAAATCATACTAATTCAACACAAAGGTAAAATCCTGACCATGCTAGGTGGCTAATGCTACCAAAACAAACAAGTTAGCTTTAGATGCTAACACATCCAGAAGGAAGAAGGCCACATGACTACTGGCTGGAAAAACCCTTCTTCTAACCTTGGCTAGGCGGCAGGGGGGGGGCTGATTTACAGACTGTACTTTGACAACACAGGGTGGAGAAGCTGGAATAACAACAGGAGGCTGTGGGCAGCAGAGGGTCATGGAGGGGGGTGTAGCTGGGAGACACCACGTCCTGGCCCGCTGTCACTGGGTTTATAAGACTGTGTTATACAATCTGAAATAATGTGCTTTAAAATGTTTCACACCTTGGAAAGAATTTAAATCTAAAAGAATGGAAGCGCATTGCATTCACAAAAGTAAAAAGTGATGACCTTATCTTGTAATTGTGACCTATAATCTCATATTTATGAGAAAAGATGGATGATAAATGGTGCAGGAATTAGAAAACTTTAGAAGTTGTACTTAAATATTCTGTGATAGTCGTCTGTGTTATATAGCAAAAATCAACATTAAATGTTTTAAACATTTTACAAGTGTAGTTATTTCTTCTTGTTGTGCGCCTCTTCTCACGCACTTGTTATCATGCGATGTAGGTGTCGGGCTGTTCTCTGTTCTACGCTCAGTGCACATGACTGGCCATGGACAACCTGTGATGGAAACTAGCATGTAGTGTTTGGGGATGGTACAGGGCCAGGTGACAGGCAGGACAATAACAACTCTTTAGGTCATCAGACGCTGTAAATAACCTGAAAAACAGGAAGGTACGCTTTCCATTTAGCTAAGGGGTCAAAGGTTCCTGTGGGTTCATGGTTCCTGAACATTCGACAGGCCATATAAAAATTATTCATGTGCACCTCAGTGTAACAAAACCAAATTCCTGAGCGAATTTTACTAAATCTGACTTTCAACCGTTTCATGTGGTTGTTCCTTCCTTTTTAATCACCACTAACATCTCTTGGTTGAGGATGACATACAACACCTTGGCCTTCACTCTAGGATGACATTTAATGACCTTTCTGGACATGACTTTCCGCGCACGTGCGATGACAGCTCCTCAGCTAAACTGGAACCAGTAGTTTTGCATGCTCCTGGTACGTTTTTCAGTCTTGCTACAGGGTTCCTACGCATTTTCAGTTTCAACTTTCTGTACTTTTTTAGACCTTTCAGTATTCTTTGTGAAATCTGACCAGTTTTCTGTATGGAAATTTTGTTTGTGTCCTGCCTCCTACACAGAATTGTCACAAGACCGTATGTACTGTACTTTATTGCACATTTAACTAATAGTTGTGTCGACAATAACGCTTTCACTGACAAGTAAATCTCACAAAACCTGAACAAAAAAGGTCTAATCAAAAATAACACTTCCTTTAATTCAAGATTACCTCAAGAAAAAGTAACAACTCTTTAAAAACTAGAAACCCAACATTCTGGGCTGCTGATTGTGCTCATTATCTATATTTTAATCTTATATAATCAAGTCAAGCTTAGAATCCTTATATTTTAATTGACTGTTTAAAATGTGAGTAATAAAACAGTGGCCATCATTAGTTACTAAAGCATACACAAGACTGAAAATGTTCACATTTAGAGCCTAGCACTGCTAAAACTTTAGTATTTTTATTGTCTAAAAAGACGCTTTTGAATACCGTGAAGCAGAAAGTAGTCCACTGGTGTACGCTTCAGACCGGCTCTGGCCTTCTCACTCGTCCAGTCAACCTCCAGAGCCTCCTTCAGAGTACAGAAGCTGGCCGTCTGTTTAGTCAGAGATGTTAAAACAAATGTTGTGTCAATACGAACCGAGTCACTGGTGTGTTCCTTCACTTTCAGGACAAACATTAGGCAGTATGAGTATGAAAGGCAGGTTATTTGGATTTATTTTATTTTATTTATGGAAGAAATGTTGATAATATATAATAAACTCATGTTTATAAAAAGGATTTTAGAATAAAAATGTTTATTAATCAGGCAGATACATTAATTTATATTTAAAAGAAAGAACAGAACACTTTCATTTAAAAGATAAGACAAACATTTGAATGTTTTTCCATGGATTATTCTCAGAATTTTCCACTTCAACAGTCTTAACATTTTTAGCTGAGTAACTCCAGCCTCTGTTTAAAGGAAGTCATTTTATTCACCACTCATACAGTCACTTAAAAATAAGATATCTTCATACATGACAGTTCTTTACATCAGGTTTGCTAACAGGATCAATTGGAAACCACCTACCTTTTTCACCATGGTGGTCTGGTTGGGGTCCACCTTGGCTCTCTTCGCCTCCGGACCATTGTTGGACTCTCCAGTTGGTTTCACTAGTTTAGGTTTCTCCCTGCAGAGAGAAAGAGAAAGTTCTATATCATCAGCTGGTCAGTCAGTTTGACATAGAAAACCCAGCTCACAAGTTTTATCTTATGTTTGATAAAGTGGGTTCACAACCAAAAATAACACTAAGTGGAGTTAGAACTGGTTAAATAAGGACCGTGAGGATGCCCAAGTCTTCTTCATGGTACATTAACTCAGATTACAGAACATGTCCTCATGTCCAACACACCTGGCCAATAAAGCTGATTCTGATTCTAGGCTGAAAAGACATCAGGTAGCTTAGCTTTAATATATCTTATGAACTGAAATCCCACCTCAGTGCCCCTTTTAGAGGGCGTGCAGATTTAGATGTGTTTGCTATAAACGTATCATTCCGTTACATTTAGTAATGTCATACATGTTTTTCATGCTCAGTAGAATGAGAAAGAAATCAGAGCAGGGGGTCTGAAATGCTTACACTGCAGTGTGGAGCTGGGATATACTGATCTGAGACCAGATACGTTCTGGGAAATAGTTATTGTACTGTTAAACCACCACTAATGCACCTTGTCAAAATTCTGTCAGGTATTAAAGGTGTGAACGTTTTTAAAAATATCATCTATGGATCATTTAACCCACAGCAACTCCCACGTGTCACTTTCACATGGGCAAACTCAGGTTAAATACAAACTTCTAACCGCCACCCACTCACTCGACATAGTTGTGCTCCTGTCCGAGGTTGCAGAACATGTAACCATAGTAACCATAGACGTCACCACAGAAGACCTTGATGTTGCGCTGAGAACAGAGCTGGTCGACCCGCACCATCAGGTCTCTGGAGCAGCCTGTCAGACACACCTGAGGGAGAAGAAGCACAAAGCGTGGAGAAGGAGAAGGTTGGCTGACTTTCTTTTAATGGACATGTGGCTACTTCAGACAATTAACTAAGGTTGATCAGGGAGTTTGACACTGTAGGGGAATAAGGAAACTATAACTTTCAGCTCAATATGTCATAATGATAAGAAACAATCTGCCTAATTTCATTTTCTCTGTTCTCCCAGAAGTGTCCAAAGAGCCATGTTAATGCACCAGGTCACATTTGCAGCTTCAGTAGCTTTTAATTTGTCATGTCCCAAGGAACATGATACTGGATTTTATCCAAGAAACAAACTTGACAGTCCTAAAACAAACACTGTAGTGTTTGAGAGCCTCCTTTCAATTAAATACCTCAAGTCTTGCATTTGTTTAAAAAGGTACCTGTGTTTGACAAAGATCCAGCCTTTTGTGTACATGCAGTGTCCTAAAATCTGTGATCTGGATCATCTTTTAGGGTGTGACAGGCCGTTAGACTGTGCATCTCACCCGAACGCGTCAGGGTTTTATCTTCATTATAGGCCCAACTATGGCAGAAAATGTTTTCAGTGTTAACTTTAAATGGCCGTCAGATCTGGAATCCAAATCAGATCCAGATGAAATGTGGTCTGGTGATGGAAGTCTTGACCCTCAAAAAGCCGTTTCTGAAAGTGAAGGCCAACCAAAATGTCCTCACATTGTGGTGCTGCCTTGCATTTAGTCCCCAAAACTGGCTTCAATCCCTTTATAAAAAAAAATCATCAGTAAGTTTTAGCCTGCTCAATCTGGCGAACAACAAAGCTGCAGTGAAAAGTGGCTGTTCAGTGGCCAAACCAGCAGAGACACACCAACTGCTTTTGGTGAAAGGACAACCAATCAGGGAGTTTGACACTGTAGGGGAATAAGGAAACTATAACTTTCAGCTCAATATGTCATAATGATAAGAAACAAATTCAGTACAGTAAACACGGTGTTCCAGGGCAGGCTGCTGTAAACAACTGGCCCCTGGGCTGGGCCCACCTTATCCTGCTGACCCAGTCCTGCACACCCAAAACCCCCTCAGCTCACTGATAAGTCTGATACTGCATCTTTGGCATCACTGAGTTTTCACAGTCCCACACAGCAGCAGACACACCAGGGTCACTGCTGTTTTCAGTGTCCGTGATGGTCAGGGTTGATTTGCACACTTGTGAGGCCCTGACGTGTGAAACATCTGTACACACCTTTAAACAAAGTGTCACAACTTAAAAAAGGGCAGAAAAGACAAACTACTCTCACAGCCTCAGACATGATCCTCCACCTTTTTCCTTCCTAGAAACAATTTGCAAACATGATTTGAGCCAAAGCAAAAAATTGTAATTAAAACATAAAAGGAAAAGGAAGTGATGGAAGGAAAACAGGAATCTCCTTTTTAAAACAGATTATGAGCACGTGGTCCTGTATAAACACTGCATATTAGTCTGGTCAGACCAGTAACGCTTGTGCCTTCTGTATTTTCATCCACCAATCAGAATTTAACACTCTAAAGATTCTGTTGACAGTTTGTGTTGCCATTTCTGCCCGTTTTGGTGAGAATCATTTGTTTAACTCGACATTTAACTGTTGCTTATTTAGCCACAGATTTGTCATTTTATAGATTCAATACTAAGGATGAAAAACAAGCTTTCAGTTGTTTTAATTGGTAAAAAACTGAAAAAAATGTTTCATATCTGTTGGACAATCCTTCATGCAAGAAACTCAAATGAATCACTGCATTAAAAAGTTGCTGTGCGCTGTAGACGAGCCGAGAGAGACTGAACGTATCAGCAGCACTCTGCAGATGGACACTGGGTTGTTCTGTTGTATTCATCCCTCAGTAATTAGGCCTCTCATATGAAAACTGTGACCACACTGCGACCGCTCCACTTTAATCACCCTCCATGTTCCCACTGAGCCAAACAGACACAGCTGTGGAAGCAGATAAAAGCCATGAGAAATCTGCAGCAGACAAAAGAGAGAAACCTCCCTGTTCCCATTTTAACTCGACATTTTTTAAATTGTCCCGCTTCTCTTTTCTGACCGTCTCATCCTCCCACTGTCCCTCTGCTGCCACCCTCATCTTCCTCCCATTCTGCTCTCCCTCCTCTTGACCCTCAGCTAGCAGTCCCAGAGGGAGGAAGACTGCCGACAATTCAGACACAACAGGAGGAAAAAAAAAACACCTCTGTTATTCTTCTGACGCTGTTCAAATACACTGTGCTAAAACAGAGATCCAGCCTGTGTGTTTGTGGAAGTGAGTGTTAAGCACTGAAGCTACAGCTAGTGGAAACAAAAAAATTAACACAATCCTCCATGTATTTGTTCGATCTGAATCCATACGTCATTATCATATTTGTTATGGTACATTTTACTAATTATGTCATGTTTTATTAAGTGGAAATTCAGATTTGTTTTGTAGGGAATGAAAACCTTCACCCTGGAGTCACACAGTATCACATTATTTTGCTAATTTGCAGTTTCACCTGGTTCAGGTGATGCAAACAGAAAGGTCCATTTGAATTATGATGCAGTGAACATCTTGTCAGCATGCTGGCTTTATGCTCCAACACACAGGATCTGAATACTGAAAGACACAGCTGAATTTAAACTTGGTGTTTATATTTGCACTGCGTCACCGGTGTACAAATCCTAGCCTTCCTTTTACACAATGCCATGATTGTGATCAGTATAACAAGACAATGACACAGTTACATTTCCAACAACATTCACCCACTGTGGATGTAAACATCAGAAAATGAAAGACAAAAGCCGACACTTGAACCTCATAGTTATTGTTTCACTTCAGTTTTGAACCAATGCAAAAAATGCAAAATACTTCTACTTCTATTGTAGTTACTCATCGTAAATGACATTTAGTTATATTATCTTTCATTAAGCGGCTGCGAGGTGTCCATGTTTGTTTCTTTTTTATCTTGCATGTCTGACTTTTCTGTGTCATGTGGATGCAAAGTTTTAATAAGCAACCAAAACTTTTTAAATGAGTCAAAGTATAATTAGTTACATTCTCCAGTCACTGAACATTGTCGTAAATGCTGCAGGACCATAAAAGGCATCATTATGTAATCAACAGGCTAACTATATCACAACAGTTGACTGAAAGATAAAATATAGGGGAGATCCTGGGCGAAGGTTCCTGGTCTGTGTTGTGCCCACACATTATGCAGAGTGAGGATGAGGAACACTAACAGAGGTATGAAGATCCACAGCTGAGGAGGTTAAAGCGGGGCTTGGCTGTGTAACGCATTAGGCTACTACATGACTGGACACCTTAATGCACATAGAGGAGGGCTGTTGTAAGACAGCATCGATACCAGATAACGTTAGCTAGATACTAGAATTCTGAAGACATGGAATATTTGACTTGACTATTTAAAATGCACTTGGGCTGTTTGTCACTTCTGCTGTGTAGCCTAAACATTTTGTCTACACAATCGTCATATTAACTGTGTGTGGCTTGGCCAAGACTGGGTTATAGGATTATATGCCCCTCACAATCTTGACACACATCTGCAAACAGAAACATGTGTTTACCTTAGGATTTGGGTGGTACTTCGACCCATGACCATTGTACTTTTGACCCGACGACTAAGGACAAAAGTACAGTTGTGTGACTTGTATTTAAAGCTAAATTACTTCAGGGTCATAGTCCTGTTCACATAAATGTCTGTGGATACTGGAAGATGATGTGTAGATGTCCTTAAATGAAATGTGATCAGAGAATATGTATTCATTCTCACACAACTGGGGTAAAAACAAAAAATGGTATGACCTGGATCTCCCCCTATCCATTACTATTAGCTGCATGATGAAGCCATTACTGTACACTTAACATAAATCAACTTATTGCAGGTGTTGGTCCTGGAGCCCGACAGAGCAAAAGAAGGAGAGCTTTCACGCATGATATGGACAACAAGCAACATCTGGTGGTGAGACTGAGAGAAACAAGACTGGGTGATCACATGAGATTGAAGAACCCCAGAGGAAACAGTGCTCCTGTACGAACAGTCAGTTCTTCTGCAGCTGGACTGGACCACAAAGCCACATCATGTGATCTACATTTGGACAGCTTTAGAAAAAGTGGACGTGGTGAGATCCATCACTAGCATACATTTTCAATTTAACCCGTTTTCATGTTTAATTTCAAGAAAAGACAGATCTGGTGTATTTACAAGTGAGGTGACTCAGCTTTGCTCTCAAATGTTCCGTTTATCTGTTGACATTTTGACATATTTGAATACATATGTTTGACTTTTGTGATTACATTTTAATTTTCACTCACCGCATCAAACTGCAGAAAGAAGTCATCTGGTTTGTTGTCAGCTCTGTCAGGGTCAGCATGGACCTCCACCATCGGGTTGAGGCTCTGCGCTCGCTCCAGAGAGGCCTGGGCCCGATTTTGACCCTGCGCCGTCACTGGAACCAGGAACTGAGCTCGACATGACCCCTCTGACACCTAGTGGGTACACAAACGAGAAATGCATCGCAGGGTGACGACTGTGCTTGAAGGCCCTTACTCTCAATATACACAAAATCTGTCTGATGTGATTTAGCTGAAGACAATTTACACCATCCTCCACTTGAAATCCTCTTTTTTTCCACATTTTTACCACAACTTTTATTGTGGGAATATTTAATTTAATGTAAAACGGCTGGTTTCTTTTAGTATCGGTGAAAAAAAAACATAGATTTTTGAGTATTGCTTTGTCACAGGCACCATCTAGTGGAAACACATAGTACTGCAAAGACTGAAGCATAAAAAGTCAGAATCATTCATTTTCTACCGCTTAATCCCTGAATGGGGTGGCGGTCGGAGCCAATCCGGGACGGCAATCGGGCGAAGGCGGGATACACCCTGGACAGGTCGCCAGTCCATCGCAGGGCTAATACATAGACGAACAATCACACACACACACACACTCCTATGGGCAATTTAGAGAGGCCAATCAACCAAAGCTGCATGTCTTTGGAAGGAAGCCAGAGTACCCGGAGAGAACCCACGCAGGCACGGGGAGAACATGCAAACTCCACACAGAAAGGTCCCAGGTGGGGCCCGAACCCGGAACCTTCTCGCTGTGAGGCAACGGCGCTAACCACTGTGCCATCGTGCTGCAAGTCAGAATCTGCTTTATTGGCCAGGTGTGTCGGACACACGAGGAATTTGACTCTGGTACATCCTCTACTAATGTAAATAAAACCTGAGGACAAGGAAAGGGAGCACCTTAACACGCCGTTGTGTGCATACTGTGTGAGCATGTGTACCTGGTCATGATCCAGCAAAGTGATTCCTTTAACTCCAGCCAAGATTAAGTTCTTGGCCACTTCAGCCCCCAAACCACCTAAACCAGCCAGGAGCACACGGGACCCTCGCAGCCTGTGGGGGGGATGCACACACATGCAGACAAACTGTCATGCTAATGAAAATCCGTTTGATTATTGCATACTGCATGCTTTGAAAATGAGCTTGTGCTCCATGAGTTCACAGGTTGTGTTTGTAACAGATGAACTGCAAGTCTTATTAAAAACATAACATTCATACATAAAACATACAAGAAGATTTAAAAAAAAACAAATACGAGCAACAACAGAATATGAATAAAATTAAAGTGAATTTTCTCATTTGCATCTAGTGTTTACAAGTTCTTTTTTGTCTAAAATGTCCTGTAACCTTTCACTTTACAAGCACGTAACATGTGCATTAAAGAAACTAGTCTGTTACTTTGCTTGCAACTTATCATGTGGTTAGGGGGGAATTCAAATCCTTTGGGACGATCACCGGCCTCTCTCTTTCAGGTTGTTATCATACCTACCACAACACATCTGTATTAACTAAGTAAAAATCCTGACCTACATAAATATTGGTATCGAGCAGCTCAAAGAATACTCCCCATAATGCCTACTCCAACAATTACTCAATACCATCTGTTTTAAATCCAAAAAGCACGTTGAATCAAACACTTTGGTCAAACCCGATGCAACAACATAAAGCGTGTGCTGCATCGATTAGCCGACCGGTGAGCTAGCTGACCTCTTCTGAGCATCCAGCCCCCACAGTCGGATCTGGCGGTCGTACTGTGCAGCCTCCTCCTCGCTGATGACCGGGTCCTCCTTCTCAATCATATCGATAATTTCGGTTCACTTTAAAGGAAAAGTTTCGTGGTAAAATAGTATTTTGTAGAACTACAGATATGGATGATTCAAATGCAGCGACAGTGCAGCGGAATGGGCGCTGAATGATGACGTCTTCAGAACGAAAGAATTGGTGTTTTTTTTCTTTGTCTGTCCTTTTTTAACAATATATTTGCTATTAATTTTTGAGGATATCTATTCTGAATTCCCAATTGATGTGCTGAAATTGTTTCTACATGATTTTAAAATATAGCCTTATAGTTTTAAAGATTATGGTTGCTTGTAACAGTAATTTTAATCTTAAAAATAGCTATAAACAAATAACAGGCGACACTGTTGCTAGCTGTGAATGTATGCATCGGCCAATAAGCCCTGCAATTTACCTTTAAATCGCATAGCTTTATATATTTATACACTTTTATCACTTAACTTAGGGGGACCTCATTTGGCGTAAAGGATGAATCTGGGCACATTTTTCCCTGGGTATAGTCTTTTACGAACAATTTCACAGCTGTTTTTAAAAATGTTCTGCTTGTTATGTTCCTTGAATTGCTTTTGTAATAAAGACAGCTAAATGGGCAGTCAGGCATTTTAAGAACTAGCCCCGTGTTAGTACTAGTTGGACAGAGGCATTATATCTGGTTCCAGAGAAGCAGAGTATATGTATAGCTTGTGGTTCAGCATTGTCCTTACAGCAGGGCAGTTAGGCTGGGATGACTAATCTGACAACTCTGCTTAGCCCTGCTAAACTTGCTCATTCACGGCTATGTTTATGTACAGTTGTCATCTTATTCAAATTAGTTAGTTCACACCCCGTCAAATTGTAATTATTTAAACACGATGCACTAATTAGTTTCTCTGCAAATTCACCTGCGAGTCAAACTTGGGGGCCAATTTTACTCTGGTAGTTTCCAATTCGGTAATTTCCGCGAGATGCGCAGAGTTACTTTGTTCGTCATGACGCCATCGATGGAGAAACCTGCCCCTTTCTCTTTGGAGAAGAAGGTCGGCCATTTTAGGTTCATCAGTCGTCATTTCACATCGCTACAGTAGGACGGAGAACGTCAGGACTCACTTTCATCATATTTCTCTTACAACTGTAGTGGAGAATTGCCTACTATGAACTGAAACTCTTCCTAAAATCAAAAACAAGTAGATCCTAGTGAAGTGACGCATAAGCCAGTAGATTCCAGTTTCGAGTTGTAATTTTTTGCACCTCAATGTAGCTAGAGGAAATGGCTGTGGAAAGCATGACTGTCCATCCAAACTCCCCAACTACCAACCACGAACACAACAGTCTCCTGACTGACGAAAGGTCGAGTAATTCTACAATCATATTTAAATGAAATTATTTATTTGTCCTGTGCTTTTACACAAAAAGCCCGGGGTTTCTTTTTCTTTTTTTTGTCAGAGGGATTAAACTCGCCTTTTCTGGAAACGAGTACAGAGGTAAAGAACGCCATGTCGACACGACAACGCCAACTGGGAGTCCAAATAGCACCTGGGATAACCGTTATTCCCTGTATTTTATTACGTTACCACAATCAACGATCAATCGACTCAAGCCATCTTGTCTGAAGAAAAAAAGACGAGGTCGAAACAGCTGATCATACTTTCACCGCCATACTCTAAACTTTCAGCGATTATAAAGCATCGGTTAATTACTAGACCATTGTTAAGAACTATTAACCAACTAATTAGTTAACGGTAATTTAAATAAGAATGTGCGGTGACAATTACTGTAACGCTGCAGGTGCAAAAATTCCAAACGACTCTCTTTCGCTTAATGGCGGGCCTACCCTAGCTTGTTAGCTAATGCTAGCAATGACATTTGGCAAGAGCGAGGCTAAGCTAACTGCTAATGGCTTTTGTTAACGATGATGTTATTCATTGGCATTTCCCATCGCTGCGCTGTTGAATTAAATATAGCGCTAACAAACATCGCCAGAGCAGCGTGGTGATTGTTATATGATCAATATGTTGCTATTGAATTATCTCATAATCCGTTCTGTTGGCCTATGTGTATTGCCAATGCGAAGCAACATGTCTCTACGCACTTGAATTCTGTTCGTTGTCTTTAACGTTGCCCAAATACCACTCGTGAGAACTTGAGCTAATAAAACAACGGGGTTTCTTTCCATCAAGTCTTAAAGGTTTACCTACCTATCTTCAAAATATACTTTTTTTGTTGGTGAAAGGCACAGACTAATAAGTTATGTAGCCTGTCACAGTAGCTAACTTTAAAAAAAGTTACGTTTATTTGTCTAACACTTTTCTTCACAGTCGTGCCCACAGTGACTCGTCCCAAATATCCACAAAAGTCCCCAGGAATGTATAAAACGTCTGCAAAGCATCACAGAAGTGTTTCAATTCAAACACAAAAGTTCCCTTTTTCCACTGTGCCCAGTTGGCAGTTTGCTGTGTGTTTCCCAGTTGGCCCCATTTCAAAGCCCCACAAACCCCACTAGTGTCCCTAAAAGGTCAGGCGAAAGCTTTTTCAGTGTTTTGAGTGCAAAATGTGAAGAAAGCCTGTCACAGTAAGTATTCCCCATTTTAATCATGGCCCTTTGCTTTATATAATTAAGGGAAGGACTCATCCACTGAGCTAATAATGTACCATAATGCATGGTAAACCTTTGATTCAGTCATTGGTATTACACAGGATCATTCTTGTGCTCTGTTGAGCTTTCAGAACATTTCACAATTGTTTGTTAGTAGGGTGTGTTGATAGATTTTATTGTTGGTTATATTAGTAATTGACATACCTGAGAACATGTTGGCATAGTTTACATGGATGACAGGAGACGGCACAGACCTGGACTTCACAGCCATCAACACTTGGTACCTGTGTAGAGTCTCAGTAACTCATAATGTAAATATATTTTCCTCTCCCCAGGTCTGCTTAGCTGAAGTTTGTGTTGCTACACAAACTATATTATCTCAAATTTACACTGACCTGATCTGTTATTGTTGTTGGCTGTGTATAGAGAAGTCTGGATGGAGTTTGAATTTTAAGTGTTTCTCCAACCTGGCATGTAGTTGGCAGCAGGTTGTGTGTGTATAGTGCCATAAGAGACCAGACAGGCCATCAGCTTCTGCCCTAAGTGAATCCCATTCACTCCCTATTCACAACAACCTGCTGCCATACCACAGCCAAATCCTTGTGCTATGATAGAGAGGCCTCCTCTGTGCCAGGAGAGTTGTCCTTGTGGGTTTGACAGGGTTTGATTAAGGAGCCAGCTTGTATCACATGCCAGTAGTGAGACAGAGGAGTGACTTGGCTGTTAGGCTGATGAGTTTGTGGTCTTTGCATTTGGAGCTGATAGGGGGTGCAGGACACAGAACCTGTTAGCAGCATATTCTGGGAGGGGAGATTAAAAGTTGACACAGTTAAATAGTTTTGAGGAGAAATACAATAGGGCTGTTAAACCAATATTGGCTGAAAACATTGCACAATCTGTATGTAATCATATTTTTTAGCTGCTTTGCATAGAATGACAGAGGAAAGATTGTGAAAGTAACTGAGAAACTATTTTCAGGGAGTTTCATTCTGGCTTTTGCTCCAGAGGAACACCAGATGAGCCCAGTTATGCAGATGGATTTGGTTGTTTGCTATGGATTATGCTATGGAGCAAGTTCAGGCTTTATAGCAGGAACCTGAATGGAAGAAAAGCTTCCTAAAGAGTCTGGATAATTTTGCTTCATGAAACCCAGAACTCCAAATGTGGCACAAGGACAGGTGAAAAAAAGATCTTCTCGGGACTTAAAGTCATGCAGGGAACTTATTTCTTGAAGCAGGATCCTGATAGTTTGAGTCACAGCAATGGCCTTAAAATAATTTTATGGGTTAACATTAGGTAGGATTTCCAAACATACACAGAATGATGAGTTTGCAAAATACAGTGTTGTGTACTTGGAATTGTTTTTTTGCCTGACTCACATTCATTTGTAGCTTTGCATCTGAATTAGTCATAGCTGTTGGGCTCTGCAGATGAACAATGTGTTTGTCACAGAGGGGTTCATGCTGGTATTCTAAGGATGTGGTGCGGTGTAGCGCCCACACACACTCAGTGCAGCTGAGGTTTTGTCTCAGAGGTTGAGTGTTCCCACCACCTGCTCTGTCTCAGTTCACTGTGTGCTCCATGTAGGACAAAATTAGTTTTTGAGTAGTCAGATATTGTAAAGCTCTAGTCATGTCAGTAAGTGGAAGCCTGATAGTGTTAGTCTGGCCCTGGGCCAGTCCTCTTTGAGTATGGGTGTGGGAGACCCAGGACCTAGTTAACTCAAACAGGGAGTGATTGATACTTTGTCTTGCCACTGTTATTAAAATGTTATGAATGCGTTATGAATCATACCACGTCTTTGCCAGCGATAGCTGCAGTGTCCACTCTCTATGTACACTCAGTAGTTGGTTGTAGTTTAGTTCCTGGGTAAAACTGTGCCATAGTAGGAAGGAAAATACATCACATCCTGATATTAATGATAATAGTTTTGTCAAATTTGGATGAATAGCAGCCTTTTCCCCTAACTGGATATATGACCTTTCTCTAGGCTAAACTGAACATTTGTCATTGCTTTTTAAAACCTTGTTCTCCCTCCAATGTGTCCACCTGCTTCTCACCGATTTAAACTGGAGCTCAACATTACACACGACTCTGGTGTAGACCTGATTTCAAGGCTCAAAGTTTAAAACACAGTATGATCACAGTTGTGGAGCTTTTTGTGTTAGCAGGACAGTTTTGACTCAGTTTTAGGTGACACCCCTTCACTGTGTGCACTTTTAAGGTGATGCATATGGAAAGTAGTAGCATCTGTACAAATTCTGTTCACCTGTACTTTAAACAGGCAGACATCTGTGAGAAATCCAGGTGCTCTCCAGAGTCACTGCACACACTAAAATACAGTCCTTCATGTCATGTCAGCCTGACGTGAGTCACCGGTTGTTGGTGTCGTCAGTACAGAGGCCAACAGAGAATGACAGAAAGCAACCAGAGCTACAAGGACAAGAGCCAAAGATTTCTAAGTGGGTCCAAGGCCATAAGTTATTTTACTGACATTAACCGATTTATTAATAAAAGTTTTACTATTAAAGTGATGAGCTATTATTTCACATAGTAAGCAACTCTGTGTTTCTGCTGGAATTCAGAAAGTCCAGCTTTTCTTAGTGTTCCCCCGTAGGTGGCTCCAGATCTAGGTCTCATTCACAGTGAATAGCAGCGGATGCTTTTTGAATCAAAGCCACAGATGAAATATGTAACCTTCAAGTGTTTGTTTCCATATACAGACCAGAGGATGGAGAGCTGGAGGAGGGTGAGCTGGAAGATGATGGGGGAGAAATAGAGGGGGAGGACATGGGTGGAGGTGCGTCAACAGCAGGAGGCGGTGGCGGAGATGTGGCCGATGAAGCAGATGGAGGAGGTGAAGCGGCAGGGGAAGGTGTTGGTGAGAGGCCTCGGCGAAGTCGGGAGCACCACGCCAGCAGCGAGTCAGATGATGAGAGATCCCACCGTCGCAAGAGGAAGAGAAAGAAAGAGAGGGAGCGAGAAAGGGAGAAGAGGAGGTCCAAGAAGAAGCGCAGATCCAAACACAAAGTAAGAGTGTTGGCAGCTACGCAACTGAAAAGACGTGTAGAGTTACCTGCACACCTCTGGCTTTATCTGTCTGGTGTTTCTCTTTCTCCCAGCGTCATGCATCTTCTGATGACGACTACTCAGACTACAGTGATGACTCGGACTACAGTCCCAGTGAGAAGAGGAAGTACAGAGAGTACAGTCCTCAGTACCCCCTGCCTGTAAGTATGAAGAGCAACGTTCTTCCACAGTTTTAAGCTCTTGATGACCTTTTAGTGACCTATTTTAGGTTTCCTGATTTGTCAGTGTTCAGCATCACTGATTTAGTGTTTTATGTATGTTTGCTCATCGCTAGTCACGCGGGGGCTACAGCAGCTCAAAGAAGGGCGGCTACATGAAGATGGACAAGCAGGGCTACGGAGGCTACGATGAGTATGATGATGACAACTTTGATGGAGAGGAAGACGAGGATGTGGGGGATGAAGACTACGATGACTTCACCAAGGAGCTCAACCAGTATCGCAAGGCCAAGGAGGGAGGGGGCGGCCGTGGTGGGCGAGGTGGGTCCACGGCAGCTTGGGTGAAACTGCTGAGAGTGAAAAGCTGAGTTGTAACACTACATATTCTCGTGTATGTAAAATATGTAACCAGCTGAGATTTGATCCAGCTCTAATTTAGGTGCAACTTTGTGGATAAACGCCTAAACTGGAATTCACCAAACAGCAGAGCTAAGGCCAGGTGTTACGAACACATCTTGGCTGTTTTACTTGTGACACAATTTGATTTGCACAGTGTTTGTCAGACAATGGAGCTCATTTGTAAAAGTTTCTTATCAATCCACATTCCATAGATAAGCTGCTGACGGTCTCTGTCGCTTACTCTCGTGTCATTCCTCTCTTCATCTCTGTCCCTGTAGGAGGAAGAGGTCGTATGAAGAACCAAAGAGGCCGTGGAGGGATGAGGGGAGGGAGAAGGGGAAGAGGAGGCAGAGGAAGAGGAGGGAGAGGCGGAGGAGGAAAGATGGGAGGAGACAACGACGATGGAGACGGCTATGGAGACGAAATGGAGGTGAAGTTTAGAACTCAGGATGAAGCCTGTTGTGTATTTGCTTTGGTCGAACTCCAGGGAACAAGTTGTTGTTCTCTTTTGTTTGCTGGATTTAGTGTATTTGCACAGTTGTTTAAGTACAGTATATCTAACGGGGAAGTATTTAGTAAACTGATAGCAGCACTCGGTGTTCAGCACTTAGCAGTCAAAGCCGCTGGTGGTTTTCATAGGAAGCAGTTCTTTTCCTATTAATGGAAAAATACTCTTTGTTTGTCCCCTAGTACTGTTGCAGTTTTCATTTTCCAAAACAGACCAAACTAAGATTTCAAATTATTACTTTACACAATTCATTAATAATAATTAACAGCTTTTCCAGGTTTTCTACACCCGACTGTGTGACCACAAACTTCCATCTTGCTCAGCAAATTCTTGGAATTGAAGAAATGAACAGCATTAAATTCATAGTTCTCAGTAGATGCAGAGGTTGCACATTGTGTCAGGATAGGTGACATTCTTAAATCTGTTCTTACAGTATGGAGATGATGACTATGACAACATGGGTGATGATGACTTTGATGACTACTCAAAAGAACTGAACCAGTACAAAAAGTCCAAAGACAGAGGAAGAGGTAAGTTTGGACCTCAGGTAGTTGTCCAGGTGTGTGTTTTATCATCTCATCTGGTCACTCCTCTTTTAGATAAGGCACAAGGTGAGTCATTGTTAATTGCTGACTGGTTTTAGAAGTTCAGCCACTCTGTCCTTAATTTCTGAACCAGGAGGTAAAGGAGGGCGTGGGCGAGGCAGAGGTAAAGGAGGACGAGGTATGATCAGAGGAGGAAGGGGCCGAAACAGAGGGCGAGGAAGAGGTGACATGGGAAACGATGACGACAACAATGGAGACATAGACAACGGGGTAAGGCTTGTGTAATTGTTCACAGTCTAGAGTGTCCTGATAATGAAATGGAAACACGTGGGATAATCCAGAGTATGGTAACTGTGCATGTGTTGGTTTGTGTGTGTCTTTAGGATGGAGCTGGAGGGGATGGACCAGGGCTAGGGAGGAGGAATCAGAACGACAAGCACCAGGACAGGAAAGGAAAGGCTATCTGCAAGTACTACATCGAGGGCAGATGCACCTGGGTGAGGAGGCGCGGTGTCTGTTGTTTAGGTCTGAAACATGGATCTTGACAGAGTCACAGTTTGGACTGACAGGAAGTTGTTTTTTTTAACTGGCTACTTATTTATTAATTCGAATAATGTTTTCACATTTCAGTTAGCACCTATACTTTTTCATAATTTAGCACGTTTTATTTCCTCAAATGCAGTATACATTTCCCCAAAAGGCTGGATTGTGAAGTCATTTTAATCCAGTTTTAGTGACTATATTACATGAGCTGTAAGGCCAGATGCCTCAGGAATAGCATGGTCTAATATATGATTAAACACAAATAATTCTAAATGTGAAAATCTAGCAAGATACAGAGATTATGAACGAGTGGAGGCTGATCAAAACACTTGGAGCACCATGCTATATTTAATAACCAGCAACAAAACATTAAAAACACTGAGGAAAGTATTTGACACACTGTTCATTTGGACCGTCCTGGTTTACCTGTACGTACAGTAAGCTTGTCAGTAGTGAGCAGATTTCAGTTTGGCCTTTTCTAACCACCAGGGGGATCACTGCAACTTCAGCCATGACATTGAGCTGCCCAAGAAGAAGGAGCTGTGCAAGTTCTACATTACTGGGTTCTGCGCCCGGGCCAACCACTGTCCTTACATGCATGATATCCTTCACCACTGACCACACAGGGGGACACCAAGAGATGTCTGGGTATACTGATGGGTCCCTGTTCATTCAGTCAAATGAAAACTGTCTTTGAATGGAGATAATTAAACAGTAAAGCTGACAGTCTTTACCGCTGTAATGTTAGAAAGGCCAAATTCCACTCAGCTGAGACTACAGTAGGTTTCTGTTCATCTTTTTGCGAGTGTTTCCCCTTGACTCCCATGCTACGCGAATTCCCCTGTAAGCTGTTCCACACCACTGGTAACTGTGTCAATGGTGACGAGTGCATGTTCTCCCATGAAACCCTCAATGATGACACTCAGGAGCTGCTCAACAAGGTATGATCCTGTGACCATATTGCAGATTCACTTAGCCATGTTATGTGAAGTCTAGTGACAGTTAATGGGTCCAAAAAATATTCTAAGAGTTGAATATACATATTGTCAAACCTTGAAAAAAAAAAAGTAAAACAACAAAATACAGCATTTGAAGTTTGTTAAGTTCATGAACAGAAAAGTCTCTTTAGAAAACATTATTGTGACTCATGTTCCAGATGCTGGCAGAGGATGCAGAAGCCGGAGCTGAGGATGAGAAGGAGGTGGAAGAGCTAAAGAAGCAGGGGATCAACCCTCTCCCCAAACCTCCTCCTGGAGTTGGCCTTCTGCCCACCCCTCCTCGGCCTGTTCCTTTAGACAGTAACACAGGGGCTGGGGATTTTGGCAGGCCTGTGGCAAGTGACTTTGGGAGTCTTCCGGGACCTAACCAGGGGCCCATTGCCAGCAAAGGTCCCACAGGTCCAGGGCCTGTTCCTGTGCCTAACCCCTGTGGTGGCCCCCCTGTCCATGGCCCTGATGGAGCTCCATTCCAAGGTGGGCCCCCTAACCCTAGCGGCCCTCCTCCCCACATGGGCCCCCCACCTCCCGGTGGTGGTGGTGGCGGCGCAGGGAAGAAGATCCCCTCGTTGTTTGAGATTAAAGTTCAGCCAACAGGACAGCTGGCTCAGAAACTGGCAGTCAGGTAAGAGATTGGAGGAAAAACAGTTAAAAGAGTCTTCTCACGTTCACATTGGTAGAAAGTGGAGCTGGTTATCTCATCTAGAGTGAGGTCTAAGTTTGTAGATTATTAAATGTATAGTTCCAGGGATTCTATGTTTGGAACATTTTTGGGTTGCTCCTTTCCCAAGAATGACGGCTCAGGTTAAAATGGATTCCCTGGCAGGTAGATGCCTGCAGGCAGTGGCTTTCAGTGGAGTGTTCCTTTTAATGGAACATCTATTATCTACACCGCCTAATCCTGAATAGGGTCGCAAGGGGGATAGAGCCAGGGTCCACCTTGGACAGGTCGCCAGTCTGTCTCAGGGCTGACATGTAGACCAGCAACCACACACACTTACTCCTATGGGCAACTTGGGGCCGCTGTGCCACCCTAATGGAACCAACAACTAACTAACTAACTAACTAACTAACTAACTAAAAACTACTAAAGTCAAAGCTCTGTAAACATAAATATTTAACACACAAACAGAACTTCTCAGTTTTGTAAGGTGATGGTGCAAACCCTTAAGACATCCATGTTAGATGATGTTAGATGGGGTTAGGCCACCAGTCAGTTGGTCCTACAGATGGCGCCACATGTACAGAGACACAGTAACAGGGAGACTCAGACTCATTGTTTAATACCTTCTCTAAATGTGAACAATAAACAAATGTAACTGTGTCCGACTCCTCCTGTGAAGTCCCTTTGAGAGCCGATCTGCGAACGCTCACTCCTACTCTCCCTCTTCTATCAGGAGCCAGACTCCCAGTGGCAACCAGGGCCAGTCTGCAGCACCTGGACCCCAAGGGGCCCCTGGTGCCCCCCCTCCCTGCTTCCCTGGACCTCCAGGCATGATGTCCCCTGACATGCAGAACATGGGCCACAGCCTTGGAATGAACCAGGGCCCCCCCAGCATGGGCCCCAGTGGACCACCCATGATGGGAGGATTTGCGCCTGCCAATGGCCCTCCACATGGAGGCGCTATGCCTCCAGGTCCTCCTCAGGCTGGAGGAAACTTCTTCAATAACTTCTTCAGTCAGCAGGAGGATATGACAATGGAGGGGGTGGTGCAAGAAGGTGAGCGTGAACTTCAGGAATCAAACAGAATAATTAAAAATACCATTTCACCAGCTGAGTAGAACACGATGCTTTGCAGAGTTACTGTTTTTGTACTAATGGGTGCACCTGCTGCTCCCTCTTAGGTGACAACTATCAGGGTTTTTCTGGCATGGATGAGAAAGGAGGTGCAGAGAACTTTGGTAATCAGTCAGGTGGTCAAGAAGGCTCTGGTAATGGAGCGTCAGCCAATCAGGGAGGGCTTTCGGTGCCCGACTTCCTGCCTCCAGCACAACGTGTCCTGTTCATGAGGATCCAACAGAAGCAGCAGGAGGAGGAGGAACGAGCTCGCAGGATGGCTGAGGGCGGAGCACAGAAAAGTCGAGACACTGAAGGTAGAGGAAAGGCGTTTGGTCATCTGTCCTACACATCCTTTCTTTTGCCGTTTGTTTCTCCTTCCTTCGGTTTATACAGTCTTCAGTGTTCTTCAAGGTTCCTGTTCATATTAAGTGGCCTATTAGTAATGTCAGCAAAATAAACCATATGAATCTTTAATCTTCCTAAAGGGCCCCCAGCAAAATAAATGAACCACTACCATGTCTGCTAGACGTTTGTACAGTGTGACAGTGAGAGCATGCAGACGTTTTACACTGCACCGAGCTTCTCACCTTCCCAACAGAAACCGGTTTCCCTCAGGGTTAATGCTTACAAATCTGTTTCCTACAAACTCTGAGGTTAACACATCTGTCCTTTCCAGGTGACTCAGGGAACTGGTACTCCAGTGAGGATGAGGATGGCGGTGGTAGTGTAACCTCCATCTTGAAGACGCTCCGTCAGCAGACCCAGGCTCCTCAAAAACCGGACACTCCCCCAAGCGATCCTCGACTTCAGAAGGCTTCTCCTGGCAACCCCCTAGCTCGCCCAGCTGACCCCCGCTTGGTTCGGGATCCCCGCCTGGCACGCCCCTCAGACATGGCACAACTCTCTGATTCCACCCACTCCATGTGTGCTCCACCTTCCTCTGGACCACCTGCAGACCCCAGGTTAGCGCGGTTAGCTGCTGCAGCCTCAGCTGGATCTACCTCTCACTTGCCTCCTGCTCCTAAACCAGAACCTCCACTGGTCTACAAGCCCCCACCTCTTATGGCACCAGCAGCAGATGAAGAGGAGACGGAGCGGGTTATACGGGACAAGCCGGTACCGATTCCTCTGGATCCACTCATGGGAATGGCTCTGAGAGATCCACGCTCCCAGCTGCAGCAGTTCAGCCACATCAAGAAGGATATTGTTCTTCACATGCCAGCCTTTGCTAAAACTATCACCTGGTCACCGGAAGATCTCCTCCCACTCCCCATCCCTAAACAGGACCTGCTTCCACTGCCACCAGGCATCCCTCCCGTGTCTTCCCTAGATCTACGTCTGTCCCATGCCCAGCAGCAGCTCCACACATCACTTCCTCACTCACAGCCTTCCCCGGTGCAGCCTCCACCTTCCGTGGACCCCCCCGCTCCCTCTTCCTCCACCTCGTCCCTCCCAGACTTTGAGCTGCTGTCTCGTATCTTGAAGACTGTAAACTCCAGCCCTTCCCAGACACCCTCCCCTCCTCTCTTACCCACCCCTGCTGCTTCTGTGTCTCTACTGGGTTCCCCTCCTGCTGTGCCTCCTGCACCTGCAGAAAAGCCTGTTGACCCCCGTGTAGCCCGCAAAGCCCCCACAGACCCTCGTCTGCAGCCACAGAAGTCAGCACTGAAGCAGCCATCAGACCCCGTGCCGCCTCCTGTCCGTTCTACATCTCCAGTAGCAACATCAAGTTCCCCCCCTCCTACCATCGCCCCCTACGACCCAAGAATACTCTCCTCAGGTGGAGCAGGGCGTGGTGTGGGGACAGGGACACCAGGGGGCGCTAGTGTGCTGAGCAGCATCAGTCTGTATGACCCTCGGACTAACAAACCAGGCAGCCCTGGTGCCAGCAGTGGCAATTCCCCCAACCCAGTCAGCACAGAGTCCAAACCCAGTGAGCCCACGACAGGTAAACCAAAGTCCAAGGAGCCCCTGTTTGTTCGTAAGTCTGCGTTGGACCAACCAGAGCCAGAGAAAAGTGGAGAACAAGGGACCGATCGATACAACAGCTATAACAGGCCCCGACCCAAGCCTGCTCCCTCGCCTAACTCCGTGGTCCAGGGAGGGTCGGCTGCCAGCTGCCAGTGGAGGTTTGAGTGCTCCTGGAGCTGCTGCAGACCAGGGCGCTGCAGGTGTCCACAGCTTACCAGTGTCCTCTCTATTTGGCGTGGTGAAGCAAGCGACCAAGCCCGGTGGCACGAGTAGCCCCTTTGGAGGAAGCAGCCCAGTGCAGCCCGAGCAGGCGCCCACAGAGCAGGACAACGGCTCGCTGAAGGACGTTTTCAAAGGCTTTGACCCCACGGCTTCGCCCTTCTGCCAGCCCCCCCGCCACTGGAACCTCACCATGTGGTCAGCCATCGGCTTGTTTTGGACACTGATCAGTGAAAAGGAGAGAGAAAAGCGCACTGAGGCGACTGCCTGTAAGACTGGAGAAGACCAACTTTTGTGAACAAACTGATGTCACACAACAAGTTTCGAACACACACACACACACACACCCTTTGCCACAGTGTTGCAGATTCTATAAAAGACTCGTGGGTTGAGGGAAGGGTTTAAATTTAAATCTATATTTTAAGCAAACCTATTGATGTATAAATGTATTCTCTTCATCTCAATGGCAGCAAAACCACATTTATTTTGAACGAGCATTTTAACCTCACATCTTGTTATCTTTTGCTTTCAGCTCAGTATTTTGTGAATTTCATTTTTAAACTGATGTGTTGTTCAGATTTGGCATCAGATGAAAGCAAGGTTACTTTTTAAATCTTTTTTTTTCCCCACAAATATAATTTATTTTTGCCCTTTCTGTGCTTGAATGAGGCGACTGCTTTATCACCGTTGCCCGTTAGAATGTAATCACCTCCATGTCACTGCTTTGCCCTTCTCTGTCCTCTGGTTCCTTCACTGTTTACATTTGTAAAACTCATGACCCAGCATGCCACACTTTCTGCAGAGACAAATGCACATACCTTAAATCTGTGTTCTGCTTGATTTATTTTTCTACTTCTTTGCACTGTCAGTTTCCTCTGAGGGCTGTATGAATATTTCTTGGGCTGTAGCTCCTCCAGGTATTTGGAGGAGTCAAACGTCGCCTCCTATAACAGAGCAGGTGATGTGTGACTGTCAGTGTTGCCTCTCTAACCACTACACCACCGTTGTTCGTTTCCTCCCGTGTACTGAAGACGGTCTTTTAGCAGTCCGTTGCTAAAAGGAGAAAAGGCTTTAAAGTGAACACATTGTCTGTGAAAACACAGACTTGATAACAGCACTGTCAGAAGAGACGGGAAAGAGAATTTGCTGCTCAGACTCGCCTTGCTCCTCTCCAGTGGCACATTTTATCTAGCTGATGGTTAGCCATAACTTCAGCGTTGTTGCAGGGACAGTTAAAATGACTTTTTAATATGTTGCCTGAAGGTTTGACCTGTAATTATTCAGTTAACACTCATCATCTCCATTTTCTCACCTTGATCAGAACAGGACACTTTGATCCAGTGATTCAAAATAATCATCTTGATTTTAGCTTGTAGTTACTTTTTGTTTGGAAATCCTACAGAGCATCGCTGCACCTTGCAGAGAGTGGAAACATCTGCAGCCTCACAGCATTAGTCTTCAGGGCTGTGGTGGTCGGTGGCAGTGCGACAGTCATTAACTACAGTTGGACCTAAAATGAAATGTCTGGCATTGATCTGTGTAGGTGCTCCCTCTACTGGCCTGAGCTTGGAATAAAACTACATCTAAACACTGTCCAACACAGACTGGACATGCTTCAGTAGAAGATGTGCACGCTTTGTGGGGATGAGGTCATAGATTCTACCTTAGACCACCAACAGCTGGTGCTTGTGCTCCGTCTGTTCGTCCAGCGAGTCGTTGCCAGGCTCATTTGGGGATTGTACAACAACTGTGAGGATCGTGGACCGTCTTGTGTGTAAATGTCAATCGTCTTAATTTATTTTTTTATACTTTGGTATATATACTTTCTCACTTGTCATTGTTGAACTGCATCCTTTTATGTGTTAACAACGTGGTCACCGCTCACCCCAGTGCAGGCAGCCGGTAACAGTGTGAAGAGACGGGAGAGGCTTATTTTTTTATTTGTGTAAAGATTCAAACTAAAGATTCACAGTTGGCTTCCTCCTACCAGGCCATGAAAACACTTGTCAGTGTGAAAGATAGTGTTGGTTTGTTCTTTTCTTCATGGCTTTGTAAATTAGTTGGGTTTTTTTTTTTTTTTTGTCAGTTTTATGTAAATTTGACCGGTATCCTATGTTTGGACAAGTTTTCTAACTGTACGCTGTTGATGAGGTTGTCAAAGTATTTAAATAAACTTAATACATGACCAACCGCTTCAAATTATGTTGTCTGTATTTTTATTACCTCAGGTGATTCAGATTATATCTGCCGTGCTTCTGAAGCCAGAGATCAAAATGAACAGATTTTAGCCTCAGGAACAGTCGGGATGTCAACATGGTGTCTCCAGCTGTGCACGGTGTGAGGTGAGGAGCCTGCAGCAGCCTCACACTGACACCGGTCTGTTGGCAGCAGCTAAAGATGTGCACGCTGCCGTGTCTGTCATCGTGGCTGGATAAAGTAAAAACCTGTTTGATCTTATGATCTAAAATATGCACTTGGAAAGGGATTGTGTGGTGTTATTACTTCTGAATTTAGAACTGGCAGAACCACTAATGCTTGTTTGAAGCCGCTTAGAGAAGCAGGCAGTGGGGTTTAGTGAAGCAGGACTGTTCAGGAGGGTGGGGGTCTTTCTTTCCACGCTCTGTTCCGGCGTCCTGCTCATCTGCTTCTCCAGCTAAATCATGAACTATCTGCAAATGCACTTTGACCCAGAATCCCGTCGTCATTCACAAGCTGCAGTGTCACCCTCGGCTTTTTTTGATATTGTTCCTTGCTATCTTTAGACTTCCACTGATTGAAGCTGCGCGAATCGTGGCTTGCCCACTGGTGGGGTTGGATCAGCACGCCTGCAGCGCGCCGCCTCTTTCCGGGTTCACTATGATCCTCCTGTGAGTCACTTCCTGCCCCCCTTCCATCCTGTGACACTGGCTCCAGAAAAACAAACTAATCATCCAGTGTTTCAAGGGCTTCCTCGTGCACACAGACCGTCACTGAGCTGCCAGTTTATTGGCTACACCCATCTAGCTGCACCTCCTTTGGCCTTTTGAGCAGGTGTTATTCATCATGGAGTCTACAAAGTACTGGAAGCGTCGTTCACTATCACAAGGAATTTACAGCCCTTTTCTAAAAGATTCAGAAATAACTAATGATGTTTACATTTGGAGGCAGTGACAAAATGGAAACTCACTGACGTGTGACATGGTGCTCTATGTGTGTTATTAATTATCCTTCTGAGTCTCGCTAAACAGTGACAAAACAAAACCAGGTGGCAAAGCCTCACCCACTGCCAAGGCAACAAACAGAAAAGGTCAGAAAACCAGCAATATCTGCAGTATCTAGAACAGCTTTACTGCAAGGCCAGCAGGTTTTGACCTGTGGCAGTCTGATGAAGGCCAGGAGCTGCTGGAGTTTTAAGTTTTTCTGTAACTGAACATAAGTCACGTGGGTAAGAAAGTAAGCAGCCCAACAGCTAAAAACAACCGTCCTACTGGGGATTTGTAAACCAGCACAGCAAGCACCAGCTGTTCCTAACACCACATGGTAACCAAACACTAACTAATGCTGGAAACTGCCACAGAAACAAGATGAATATGTGTTTAATGAGAAATTAGCTTGACGGTTTGCTTCATGAACTCAGTGGAAGGTCAGAGCAGCTGGTGTGATGTGAGCTGAGGCCAGAGCAGAGTGGGCAGGTCTAACCCCCAGGCATGAATCACTTTCTTCCTTAGAACTGTTCTGACACGCTCAAATCCTGAAGATGTCTGTAATTTAGCCAAGTGGATTCCTGCACTGTGCAAACATGACTTCTATAGAGGTGTGTCACATGGGCTTCAGCTTTGTTTTGACTTAAAGCACCACAGAAAAAAAATGAGTGTATGACAGTGTTTGACGTTCCACTTGGATTTTGGACATATGGTAAGTAAATATAACAACTGTCAGACACTGAGCAGCTGAAAGGGTTAAAGTTTAATATGTTTTGTACCTTTTGGGTGGATTGGTTTATTTGGTACAGCTCGTATAACCAAAATAGTTTTTAACAGTCCTGTTAAAATTACTCAGAAGAACATGTATAAAACCACATGCACACACTATATTTATACGCCTACACACTCCCTTGGATATACTGTGTGTGGACTCTTATCACACAATCAAAAGAAAACTGATTATCAGTCAGCTGTAGAACGCCCTTACTGACGTATTGACTGTAACACCTGAATGTTCTTTTGAGGATTAGGAAAGTCTGTCTGCCTGTGTCTGTCCATGTGCAGCACTGGTTTAGAAACTATACTGGGCCCATTTTTGTGTTCACCTGTAACATTTCACTTGTGGTGTTTTCCCAGATGTCCCTGAAACAACTTGTGAACCAGTTCTCTGTATCTTTGATCAGTAATCTGCTTAGCTCCCTGTTCGGGGAAGCTGCCTGTGGTGAGTCTATATATAGAAGGTGTGATCCCCTAAGAGGATGACTTGGCCTGGGATTCGGAGGTTCACGGTCTGTCTGCTGCAGTGCTGCTTCTGCACTTGTGGGGGCGTTGATGATGAACCTTCAGTCTCCATTTAGAAAAATGTGTTTTGTCTCTCTATGCCTGTCTGTTCCTGTCTGTCTCATTATCCTTGGAATCGCTGCCTCGTAAATGTCACAACACCACAAAACGTTCCCACACGCTGCAGTTTACATAGAGGAGGGTGGGAAATAATGGAGATTTATTCCACCCAGAGGACGTGCAGTTAAAGACCTGCTTTGCTCAGAAACAGTTAAACTGCACTTACAGTAACAGTAGCTGAGCTTATGCCGTCATCTGCGTCAAACAGAAAACACCAGTAGACACTGTAATGGTTTTCTCTCGACGGCGCCCACGCTCTCCACTCTGGGAGTCTGTCTGTCTCTGTGAGTTGTTCCTTGTAAGAAGTTCTAGATAAGAGCGCCTGTTGAATACCAAAACTGTAGGGATGTAAATTCCTGCCTCTGAATCCCTGTCTGTCTGTCTCATTATGTTGGGAGACAGTGGGGCTGAGAAACAGGACTGTCAGACGGACTTTCAACAACAAGTGTCTCAGGGTACTTTACATAATCAGGTCTAGGAAAACCTAACAAATCCCCTTGGAGCACACAGCTGTTAACATGTGATATTATACCGTACAGAACCTACACAGTGTTTTCACTTTGTCTTATATAAGTTGTTTTATCATCCCCTTAAGCAGACGAGTAGCAGCAGGGTGTGCTGGAGCCTCAGCTGATAAAGCACCACCACTGTGTTGCCCCCACTGTGTTGGGACGTGACTGTTGTATCAGTGAGACGTGCATGTCACGAGGGGGGGGGGCTCAAACGTCAGCTGCATCAACTAACACGAATATTATATTTTATATCCCGAATGGAAACCTAAACTCAGTGAATGAGGCCTTTGTGATAGAGCTGTCCAGCCGATCTTTGTTTATACTGTGTTTATTTACCCAGATGGTCACGTCAGGTGGCCCCAACTGGGCCTGCTTACCTCACCCAGATGGTCACGTCAGGTGGCCCCAACTGGGCCTGCTTACCTCCAGTATAGGCCCCCAAGAACCTGTCACCCACCTGGTACCGGCACTGAGCAGCAGAGAGACGGTTACTTCCCTCAGGCAGCTAAAATATTTATTACATGTTTATAAAATAAATATTTGGACCTTGGGTAAAACAAAATGCCCTGTTGAAGGATCAGTTGCTAGTGTGTAGATTACAGCACATCTGAAAAACCCAAGCGTGGACAGAAATTCATTCTCCAGGTTAATGTGGACACAGTCTCTGGAAACGCTGAAGCGCAGTCATCACTTATGTTCCTCTGTGTAAGTGTGAGTGTGTCAGTGCTACATGGGAACTGCAGGCTTGACAGCCTCAGAGAATCTCAGCATGGGATGAACACTGTTACCCCTCCACAGAACCAGCAACACACCACTGCTTCCTGTCCCTGTCTGAAGAATTCCAGCCACTGCTGCTCTCATCCCGGGAAGACTCCTCCTTTCCTCTCTTTAACTTTGCTTTCCTTCCTTGACCTTTTCGTCTCCTTCTCTCTCCTTTCCTTCCTTTCTGTTTGCCCTGAGGCTACAGCAGTTCAGGTCCATGCGTTCCATCCATGGCTTGACGGTCACTGTCCTCGCTCTCATCAAAACAAATTCTTTCCATATCTCCTCCTGTTTTCCTGTCTCCATATTGGTCAGACTGGGACAGGCCCGTTTCTCCTCTGTGATGGATCGCTTCACTAACTAAACAGGGAACTAAAAGGAACATGATATTCTCATCAGGGCCCAGCCAGCCTGTCGGCCTGTGTCTGCTGGAAACCCACACTGCTAACTTTTTCCTTTGTACAATATAATCATCCTTGAATCAAAAGTTATTGTCATCATGGACGAGCTGAGTGATTTGCGATGGCCTGCGCTGGTGAAACCTGCTAATGTCCTGTTGTATGCACTGTATATTTGTAGAAAATCTGTAAACATCTGCACTATGGTGAACCTTGGTTCTTTTCTGCTGCTTTTGATCAGTTAATGCTAATGAAGCTTGCACAACTGTTTTTGTCCTCTGGTATATGAAGTGAGTGATTAACCATGTGGTGACTGTCACCTGAGAGGTTTTATTAGACTGTGGCGCCGGTGTTCGAGCTGTTTAAGTTAATGTTTATTCAACGCTGGCAGAGAAAATGGGAATGAGGGGAAAGATACTTCTGAGGAATAAGGCAATGATGGTAGATTTTTACTTATTAAACAGGAGGAGCTCTAAACCTTCTCCTGCTCTGACTTGGGAGCTCGGTTAGATGTGTAATCACACTGGGTTTGTGTCTTTTCCACCTAGCGCCACCATGAGGTTGACATTTTAGGTTTATAGTTAAATCTTTCTATGAATTTGGGGGATTCCTAGATTTTAGTTGCAGAGTGAAACAGACTGGCACAACATCTGTTACACACATTCATGGTTCCCAGATGAGGAAGCCTAATCATTTTGGTGACCCCTTAACGTTTCATGTGGTGTCGTCATCCGGTGAAATGTCTAATTCGACCATAGTTAACACACCTGTAAAACGTGCTTGTTGACATTTTCACTGTGAGCATGTAGGTATGCTAATGTTAGCATTTAGCTCAAAGCACTGCTGTGCCAAATGACAGATCTACTAGCATGGCTGTAGATTCCTGTCTTGTTCATTTGTGAATTCAGTTGTTTTAATATT